AAAAAAAAAAAAAAAAAAAAAAAAAAAAAAAAAAAAAAAAAAAAAAAAAAAAAAAGTCAACTCACCAAAAGAACAATTTGCCGAAGAAATTGGCGCTGAGCTTGGGGTTGTGCCTGCGCTTCCTTTCATTATTATCCATTTGGTCACTTTTGTAAAAAAAACAAAACACGTGGGTGTACAATAGATGATGAAAAATAAAAAAATAAAAATTAGTCAGGAAATAAAACTGTAATAGTCTATGGTCGGAGCCGACGCTACTCTGCCGAGCCGCGTCGTACGACTGGCCTTGGCGAGGCCCGGCGTTGCTTCAATAAACGAGCTGTATCCTCCGACTCCCCCTACTTACATGCTCTCGGCGACTGAGCAACTATGTGACGGAGAAAAAAAAATGGCACATAATTACGACAAATGTGTAAATTGTCAATGGGGAATTGGAAGTTTGTTGCATATACGTACATTTTATTGTTTGCGCGAGGTGAGAGTTTGCTTTTTTTTTAGCTTCTGTGAGTAGGGACTTACGGGTAAAAAGGTAATTTAACTGGTTTATTGACTCTGCGGGGATTCTGAATATTGTTAAAAAATAATTTAGCTGATGCGAATCGGTAGTTTCTTTTTTGTAAAACAATTATATGTCTTGGTATTGCCGCTTGGCTGATTTTTCAAGTGCAAAAATATTTTTAATTGTGATTTTTGAAAAACAACTATTTTGTTGTAACAGATGACCAACAGTCTCTGGTGATATCAGTGCATAAAATATTGACACAAGCCGCAAATAGCAGTGACGTCTTTCTTAACGAAAGCATTAACAACTACAAAATTGAAAATTATTATTGATTTTTGAAACAGTATACATTTAAACACATTTTTCAGAAGTTTTGTCGTATCAGTGAAATTTTGGCTCGGAAAAAGAGAGACAAAATGATCTTATCAACTCCCGTTCCCCGATAGCTTATCGGAATGATTTTTCAAAACGTATTATTAGACCGAAGGAACTTGTTTCGTTCCATATCTGACGATTTCAAGATCCTTATCCGACGTGATAATTGCCTATACACCAAAAGCCCGCGCTCCATAAAATATTCGCCAACTTTCACTCCAATTTTTCGCTAAAATGGAAAAAAAAAACTTGTAAAATTCGAATTAGCAGGGTATAAGATGATGTCATTTTTAAAATTTTGTAATTTCAGTCCGCGTCGGGAACAGGCCTGGCTTTCATAATATTCACCGAGGCCATTAACCAGTTTCCGGGGGCGCAATTCTGGTCTGTCCTATTTTTCCTGATGCTGTTCACGCTGGGCATCGACTCGCAATTCGGTACGCTCGAGGGCGTCGTCACGAGCATCGTCGACATGAAACTGTTCCCGAACCTACGCAAGGAGATACTCACAGGTCAGTGGCTTTAATAATTGGTGACTGTGTACGCCGTCAATTGTCTTCGCGGGTAATTCGGATATAATATATTCGACACCGCATGACTAACGTCCCTTTGGTGCAGTTGATTGTGTAAATGAACGATCGAATGGGCCTTCGTCGCCCAACTACTTTTATTTCAAAAGAATAAATGATTATGGTGCCTAATTGACGCGATCTCATACTGTGAAAAGTTATGATTGTACTTATACTGAAAATCAATTTTGGTAATCCATGTAAACGTGTTTATTTGAATATAAGAAAAAAAAAAAAATTACATGATGTTTTTTTTNAAAAACTGACAAGTTAAAGAACTCTACAAACATTTTTTCGTGATGTTTATTGTAAATTTAACATTTAAATATTTGTTATCAACTACAAATAATTTATTCGTGACTTTTAAATTTAGATAAAAACTCACGACAATTTCACTAATCGAATGTAAAATGTTGAAAAAAAACAAAAAAAAATCTAGAGCAAGAATTCCAGCGAAATAATGGAATTAAAAATATTTTAAGCTTCCGGCTGTTTTTCTAATCAATGCAAGCTTACAAAACTTCTGTGAAAAAAAAAATATTAATCAAAGAATATAATCCCAATGTTCATTTATTAATGGTTTAAAACCGATTGTTTAGTGCAAAAGTTTTTTTCTATCGGGGTATGAGATTAATGAAAAACCATCGCTTCATTAAGCTTATAATAATTTCAATTTCCAGCAAAGTAGTCCAACGCAATACTTTTGGTACAGGACAACCTTAATGGTCTCGAAGGATATAAATACACCCGAGGTCTTCAACTGGAAAATTGCGTTGGCGTTGCTTATTGCATGGATTCTCGTGTACATGTGTATGATCAAAGGAATAGCGTCGTCAGGAAAGGTATATTTTACTTATATTTAAATTAAATACAAAAATATGTATTGGAAATGAGTGATTTCATTGGTTCTTTTTTCACGTGTTCATACATAAAAATATTTAGTTTTTATTAATACAATGTTTTCTACACAGGTTGTCTACGTTACAGCCACTTTTCCGTACATCGTCCTTATAATTTTCTTCTTCCGAGGCGTAACGTTACCCGGGATGTCCGATGGTCTGCGCCATCTTTTCACACCAAAAGTATAATGAAATGGCATACTATTTATTGACAGTTATTTTTTAATTATTAAAAATTAATAATTTCTCCAATTGTTTTAGTGGTACACGTTAACAGATCCTGTGGTCTGGTTGGAAGCTGGTACGCAAATTTTTTTCTCCCTCGGGTTGGCTTTCGGTGGCCTCATCGCCTTCTCGTCTTACAATCCCGTCAATAACAACTGTTATCGCGATGCAATCATGGTCAGTCTCACGAATTGCTTTACATCCATGTTTGCAGGAATCGTTGTTTTCTCCATCATAGGTAATATATATATATATATATATATTTTTTTTTTTCTTACAAATCATATGACTATCAAAATTCATACATACACATATTCCTTTCACGTAACAACTATAATACTTGTGTATTCTGATGATAAAACACGGACCCACACTAAGTCCATCTTACTTTAGGTTTCAAAGCAACAATGGTCTACGAGCAGTGTCTAGCTGAAAAAAATGCCACATTGTTGAGTGTATTCGGCAGTCCTGGAAAGATACCAAGCCATCTACCTCCCGGTGGAACGTTGCTCAACGTCACAAATGGTAACGGCAGCTTAGGGAATTTGATAATGCCGGAGCTACCGGAGTGCGATTTGCAGAAAGAACTCGACAACGTAAGTATATCACTTTAATCTCATTTAATTTTTTTTAATTTATTCAACTAGAGCTCCGTTGACTTGGCGTGTAATAGAAAAACATATTTCTTCGTTGTGGTTTCAATGGATTGGATAATCATTACCCGATAAGAAATCCGTGATGGCTGGCATTTCTATGCATTTAAAATATATCCAAACCACTACGATATTTATATCACAAGGTTGACGAGGGTTTTTTTAGTAATGAGTGACAGCAATCGCGAAAAGTACCCATGATTATTCTGCAATAAAACTTGAGGCCGGTCGTACTCGACTACTCTGCCGTTATCCATGACGAGCACCTTGTCCACATCCTTGATCGCGTTCAACCTGTGGGATATCATCAGGACAGTGCAATCCTTGAATTTCTCTCTGATGGTCTTCCGAATGAGCGCGTCGGTGTTGTCGTCAATGTTTGCCGTGACTTCGTCGAGCACCACAATTTTCCTCCTCTGGAGAATGACTCGGGCCAGGCACACCAACTGCCGCTGACCGGCGCTCAACTGGTCCACCGTCGCGTCCAGAGACGCAAAGGCTTTGTGCAGCTCAACGTCCCGCAAAGTGGACCAGAGAACCGCGTCGTCCAACTCCTGCAAAGGGTCCAGATTCTTCCTCAAAGTGACGGGAAACAGCACCGGTTCTTGGGGGAGTATCGAGATCTTGTTGCGCAAGTGCCTGAGCCCAACCGCCCGTGTGTCCACGCTGTCGATGGCTATGGAACCCTCGACTCTGGCCAAACGGAACAATGCCGATACCAGAGATGACTTTCCCGATCCCGTTCGGCCAATGATAAGAACCTGCAAAAAGTACATCATTACCTCCACGTTGTTTGGACCATTTTTAGAAATTACTCATCTGATTACCTTATCCCCTGCTTCAATGGTAAAGTTCAAATTTTTCAAAATGATCGTGTCGCTTTGGTAGTACCGAAGGGATACATCTTTAAATTCAATTGCTCCTTCGTGTGGCCAGGAAACGGGTGGTGGTGGCTGGTGAGCTTCATGCTGATCTTCTCGTTCAATTTCGGTGTATTGAAATAATCTCTCGGTCGAGATCATTTGCGTTTCTATGTCACCAGTTAATTTAATGCCTCTAGCCATGAGTGCCACAAGAGTGAGTAGTTGTGTGATTGCGAGGCCTATGTCTGCGCCACTACTTTGATCGTTTTTGAAAAATAGTAAGCTATAAATAACCAGACCCATGAATGTCAGCGTAATACAGTCCAACCACAAGCTGTAAGCCATTAGAGAATATTGACAGAGTCCTGCGGCAGCTGTATGATTGTCTTGAAGGTCATCGAAATTTTTCGTGACCAACGATTGAGCCTGACACGCGCGAATCGTCAAACTACCAGCGAGTGTAGAATTAACGTGGTAGAAAAGTGGACTTTTGGCTAAAAAATATAAAATTACTCGTTTATGAAAATAAGGTCTTTTATTTTTATGTCAACGAAACAAATATTGAATTACTGAAGCTTACTTTTGCCGTCCAATCTCATCAAGTCTTTCGTTGTTTTTATCACGATTTTTCTCCCTATGTAAAGTAAATATCCCACCAAGACAACCACTACGATAAATAATTTATTAATTATCAATATTTGCATGGTAACGCCTATTATGATAAAAATATATTCTGCCGACTCAATGAACATCGCTTGTAATTTTTCATCCACGGATCCCATGTCTTTAGAAAATCTATTGAGAATCCTTCCTGTGACATGTATTTTTATGAACATCATGTGAGGATTACGTTGATTGATGTTATGATTAAATAAATATATATAGTGCCACAATTACCAGAATCGTTTTCTTCGTAAAATTTCATTTTTGCTTCCATCAAGGAAGTTACCATACTATTGTGAAGCCTTTCATTGCATCTGTTTAAAACAACAGTAGATAAGGCTGTTTTTACAACAGACATAACAACAATGAACAGAGTGAAAGACGCAAGGACGTAAACAACAATTTCTGTAGGTAACCCTAGAGACTCTTTTGTAGTGGTATGTTGATGTAAGCTCGAAAAGTTGCTGCTGATGTTTGAACTTTCACGCGGAAGGACCGTTTGACATTTGTTCCTGTAAAGTAAAAAAGTGTTACATCTTATTCACGTATTTCATGAGAAATCGTTGACAATTTCGGTAACAAAATTACGGAATATTTTACCAATATGCTACAAAATAATCCGATCCACTGTTAAGTAATTGAGCGAACGCAAATGTTGCAACTGTCAAAATAGGCAGTGCGTAAGAGCCACAAGAGGTAAAGTACTTCCAGTAAGAGGATTTTTGTTGCATCATTTTATTAGTGGTCTCCGTACTTTTATTTTTCTCCGTCTCTAAAACTTCTTCCTTACCATCCAATAGCTCGTGTGTCTCTTCGTAACTATTGTTTTCATCATCGTCGATTGTATTTTTTTCGCTCGAAGCAAAAGTTGCAAATTTCTCGGCAGTTTCGGTGTTTTCTGATTTAGTTTTATCGTTAAGATGCAAAAAATGTGAAAAGTTTTCCGTCTTTTGAATGTCAGTAAAGTTCCCATGACATTTTACACGCCCCTATACGTAAATTAAATTTTTTCTTTACGACTACAATCGTCGGACTTGCCGAAATACGTAAAATATACCTCTCAATACCTTGTCGATAAAAACAATCTCATCCGATTCCTTCAAAAACTGCACTTGATGCGTAATCAACACCCGAGTCTTATTTGCCAATAATCCATTGATACAATCCTCCAACAGTCGTTTGCCTACTCTGCCGTCAACAGCCGACAAAGGGTCGTCCAACAAGTAAACATCGGCGTCTCTGTAAACTGCTCTGCACAGGAAAAGTACACCGTTAAGGAATAAAAATGTTTCCATCTCTTCAGTCCAGATTTTTGGGTACCTGGCCAAGTTGACTCTAGTGCATTGCCCACCACTGAGGGTCGCCCCGCTTTCCCCAACTACGGTTCCGTCTCCTCGAGCCAATTGCTTCAAGTCCTCCGACAGAGCACACGCTTCCACGACCCTCCGGTACTTGTCCGCATCGTATACACCGCCAAATATGATGTTTTCCCTGATGGTTCCCTTGAAAAGCCATGGCTCCTGACTCGCGTACGACACGTCCCCAAACACGCGAATCCCACCTTTCGACGGTCGCGCTTCGTCCAACAACAGTTTCAGGAGTAAACTCTGGAGTAAGGCGTAAGGCAACGGAAAAAAAACAAAAAAAACAAAAAAAGTTCCTTTCAAGAAAAAATGGATAAGCCAAACAGATCATAGAAGCAACTACAATATCTCACCAAACTACCTTTCCTGCGCCAACGGCTCCCACGATGGCGGTCAATGATCTCCGTTTCACATTGATGCTGATATCATGCAAGACATCAATCTTGGGATCCTCAACCGAGGCAACGCTTACATCTTTGATCGCAACTATTGACTCCTCCTTTTCTGATTGCAAATATTGTACACTAGAGGTTCGCTCCTCGAGAACCAAAAATTCCTGTTCAAGTAACACGTATTAACATCTCTTTGTTCGGGCTTCGTTTGTAATTGTAGACATCGGTCCTCACCTTTATTCTTTTCATGGAGGCCAGACCTTCCGACGTTAGGTTCACGCACCGCATCAAATGGGAGCTCAGCAGGACGTCCAGCAGATTAAAGTACTGCACCAGCGTGAATATCGTGTAAGCCGAAACGGCGTGTCCTCGGGTCACGTAGACAATAATTGTCACGTACAATGGTATGCGTTTCGAGAAGGACGAGACGGCGAACAAAAAGTTTTTCAAATGCGCGGCCGTGGAAATGACGTCCATCTCATACCTAGGGTTTGTCAAACAAGGATTTAATGCTTTTCGAAGTGTATATCGTATATATGCGCGTTATTGTTCGGTAGTGGAGTGTTACTTTCGGGCGAGAAAAACTAGCTGCTCGAAGGGCTTCTCCCACGTGTACATCTTGATGACGCGAATCCCACGCACGACCTCGCCCAACAGCATCACCCGGTCGTCCGTTTTCGTCGCCACTTTTCTGCGAAATCGAGCTATCACCCCGCCACTGAGTCCTGAAATTCATCGGTACTTTATCTGGTTTGTTCTCTCAGTATATACCTTGACTTTGGTCCGAGTTTGTGGAGCATTATTACCAAATACTGGAATGGTGAGGCTCATCAGAAGACCAATGCCTGCCAAGGACGCGACCCCCACGTGGTGCCAAATCAGGTATACGAGCAGGACCGTTTGGACGGGCAGTACCCACAGAGTGTGGAGAAACAAAAAGAAAAGCTCGAGTCTGGCTGCGTCGTTTGACAGCAGATTGATTATCCTTCCGCTGTTGGCTTGTTTCTCGGTGTGTGATAATTTCAATATCTGCCGTTGGACACGAGCGTTTATCGATTACATGATGTTTTTTTTTTACCAAAAATGCTAATATTAGTACCTTTGTGTGTTTGCGTTACTACGTGTTATAATAAAGTCGATCAATTTATTCATTCGTCGAAAAAGATGAAAGTGTGCGAGAACATATTATATCATTTTCACCGAAATGAAAAAAAAAAAAAAAAAAA